CTGTGATGCCCCCGCCCCCGGCACCTGCGGCTAAACCCCGGTCCCATGGTTGCAGCATGGCGGGAGGCTCCAAGGACGTGGAAGGGTTTGGTGGGTCACTTCTGCCTCCCCTCGAGTAACAAGCGTCTCCGGGTTCTTCCCCAGGTGCACGATCCGGAATGAGGACGGCTGCCCCGTGGATCAGAAGCCAAGGTACCGCACCCCGATCCCAGCCGCCTTCGTGCCAACTTCCCAGGCGGTCGCCAGGGTCCCCCATTCCTGGGGGGAGCTTGTGCCATCTGCCTCCTGCTCCCCATCTCCCTACCCCACATGCCCCTGCAGCCCCCGGGCGCTCTGCCAAGCACCACTCTGAGGCTGGGAAGCACCGGAGGGGAATCCCTTCCCCAGCTGATTGGCAGGGGACAGTGCCCGGCCAATGGGACCAGATGTTCCGTCCCCATCCCGGGCCCACAGGCTGTAACTCGGCAGATCGTTAACCCCCCGGGCACCCAGGCTGCTGCTTCTAAACGGGCACCGTGCTGCCTGGCATGTGGAGATGGCCCTGGATCTACCCCTCCACAGTCCCTTCCCCTGGGAATTCTGTGCCTGGCAGGAGCACCCTGCCGCTCCCGTATTCCTCATCCTCACCACTGCGGTGTTGCGTCGAAAGCGTGCCGGGGAGGTGTCCAGGGAACCGCTGACCAGGGATGTAACAATCCCATTGAATCAGTGAACGGGCTCATCGTTAGGTTTCACTGGTCAACCGATTAAGCAAGATGGGTGGAGGGCGCTGCAGCCCGGCTGGAGCCGCCCCCAACTTGTGGGGCAGCCGCCAGCCCCCTCGTCCCACCCCGCACGAGGCTTCCAGCTCTGTGTGGGGCTGCCAGCTCCTAGCCCAGCCCATGGGGCAGTGAGCCCAGTGGAGCTGGAGCCACCCTCTGCCTGAGGAGGGGGAGGGCCACAGGCTGCTCCCGGGCGCTGGTTAACCGTTCCCTCGTAAGCATCACCTGGTGAGAGTGATGCTTGCTGGGTAAGTGGCTACCTGGTTACCCTTGCGCATCCCTGCTGCCGAAAGTCACCCGCCATCGCAATCCGAACGCCATCCGTGCAGAGGGACTCCCGCGAAGTGTGCGGCGCTCACTGCACTGTGCTGTGGCTCAGATCCTGGCTCGCCAGCGACAAGGCCAAGGACGGTCGCCCGCAGCCGAGTGGGGGCTGAGGGGCAGAGACCCCCAGCCGTGCTCCAGCGAGGGAGCGCCAATCAGTGACTCCCTTGCATGAGGCCACGCCCGTCTGCGGGTCGAGCCACCTGAGAGAGGCCGCCGTGCTCACCCGATCCCGACTCGGTCTGTGTAGCAGAGGCCAGAGCTGCAGCCTGGCGTAGTGGTGGGAAAAGCTATCAGGACTCGTAATAACTGAGCCTGCGGAAGAGGAGCCCGGGCATGGGTGGAGCCCCTGAGAACTCTCCTCGGAGAGAGAATTAGAGTTGACGTGGCTACGTCGGGAACCAGCCGGCGTCTGCGACACGCGACCTGCCCTTGAGCAGCCAATCCTCCAGGTCGGGGCACACGCAAACACGCCCCCGCTGGAGGAAGGCCACCACCATGCCTGTGCATTTCATAAATCCGCGGGGGGCCGGGAACCGGCCGTGCATCTGGCCCACCACAATGCAGGGATGATGCCAATATGAACATACGCATCTTGCGACACGAGGGCGGCCTCTCAGGAGGCAGGAGAGCGGCCGTGGACGCCACGCGGAACCTCAGCTTTTCCACACACTGGTGGAGGTCGTGAAGGCCTAAACCCGGCCAGAGCCCTTCCGTGGGGATTAACGGGAGTAGAAGCCCTTCCCCTGGAACTCTGGTTCCTCTGCTCCTGACTGCAGGCGCGAGAGCACCTCCTGGAACAGAAGTTGCTCCTGAGAGGAGCCCCTGAAGAGGGAGGAGCGAGGATGGAAGGTAGAAAACTGGAGAGAAGAGCCTCCAGTTCCACTGTGCTTAAGACCCGGCGATCGGAGATCTGGAGCCGAGGAGGGTAGAGGAGGGGCTTCCCCTGGAACTCTGGTTCCTCTGCTCCTGACTGCAGGCGCGAGAGCACCTCCTGGAACAGAAGTTGCTCCTGAGAGGAGCCCCTGAAGAGGGAGGAGCGAGGATGGAAGGTAGAAAACTGGAGAGAAGAGCCTCCAGTTCCACTGTGCTTAAGACCCGGCGATCGGAGATCTGGAGCCGAGGAGGGTAGAGGAGGGGCAGCTACTTTCAAAAGTTCTTTTTGGGGCGGCGGACTGCCTAGGCGAGCCCTGCCCTTGGTTACTGGAGGAGCTAGGTGGTTTCCGACGGTTCCTGCCGCTGCCCCTGCTTCCCCAGTCCTGGCTTCTTCTGGTGGGCCGGGGAAGAAGGGGGCAGGGGCTGCGGTTGAAATGGCTCCGTTGTGGGGCCGGTGTACGGAGGCCTGAGGACTTCAAGGTCGCCCTGGTGTCTTTCAAGCCGCGGAGCCTGGAATCCGTCTGTTCTGCAAAGAGCCCCGCCCGCGCCTTCAGTGGGCAGGTCTTGAATAGTCTGCTGGACTCTGGCAGACGCCCCGAGACCTGCAACCAGGAACTTCTACACGTCTGTCACCGAGGGGGGGAGTCACCGGGCCCGGCAGCCCCCTCCGCAGCCAGACGTGACTCTCCGCCAGCAGGGAGAACAGAAGGGATATTTGCCGACAGGGACACCGCATGGCACAGACGTGTCAGCACAGGAACCAGCTAGGGTGGCCAGGTGTCCAGTATTGACCCAGACCATGCGGTATTTTCACCTCCTGTCCGGTAAAAAAAATCCAGAAAATACCGGACACCTGAAATGTATTATCCAGTATTTTGTTTTTTCCCCAGCCAGGAGGCAAAAAGACTGGACACCTGGCAACCCTACTTTCTCTCCCTACACTTAAGGAACAAAACCCATTCACACCAGGCCTGAAAAGGAGCTTAGAAGAGTTGCCCCTTCCCTCAGCCTGGAAGGGAGGAAAAAATGGTACTGGAGCAGCCCTGCTAGGTTGGACAGAGGGGGGATTACTTGCCAGCAGCAAGAGCCAAACACACTGCGATACATTTGGGAGTAGTTACCAGGTGTCCGGTATTGACCCGGACAGTCTGGTATTTTCGCTTCCTGTCCAGTAAAAAAATTCAGAAAATACCGGACACCTAAAATGTCTAGTATTTTCTGGAGTTTTTTCTCTGCCAGGAGGTGAAAATACCGGACACCTACGACACACTCAACTACTGGACCCAGCCCCGGGTTCACCCTCAAGTCCCTGCCCCAGGTTATGCAGGGAAGCTGCCTTCTGGCATAATCAAAAAACAAGATGGCCACCGGCAAAAAGCCAAAGACCCGAGCAAGGGGAAGCAATGCCTTCCCTGGGTCTTAGTGCTCAACCTCTCCTCTTCCTGTCCCTATTCTGACTCCTTACAGGGGCCATACTGTTTTAATGCTGTTTTCATGTATTTATTCTTTTGCTTAATAACTCTTGGGGTCCTTTTTTTTTGCTCAACTTTCGTGTCCCCCCCTCTTTTTTCCCCCCTCAACAGAATTTTTTCCCTAGTGGTTTTTTTTGAGGGGGCGGGGGGTTCGGTATTTTTGTTGAAACCATCTGGCAACCCTAGCACCAGAAGCAGCCCGGACCATCCATTTTGGGGAGGGGAAGGCCCTGAGCCAGGGGCCTGACCCTCTCACTGCGTCCCAAGCCGCTGATCGCGCCGGTTCTGGTGCTGAGTTGGACACTGGGCTCGGTGCTGGGTTGGGCACTGACATGTTGCTGGGACCTGGCTGGGGGAGCCCGGTCTGGGGAGCCTGCTGGTCCCTCTCCTGTCCGACAGCGCAGAAACTACAGGGAACTGGGGCCTATGGCCTGAGGGGACGCTCAGGGCATCCAGAAAGGCCACTGTGCTGGTGTCTGCCGTTGAGGAGCCCAAGGCATCACCGACGGTCGATGCGGTGGGTCCCGGTGGTAGGGCCTCCAGGGGTGTCGGCTCCTCCTAGAGACATGGGAGTCTGCTTCCGAGGCTGAGCCCGAGCTCGAAGACCAGAGGGGGACGCGGAGCCTGGGGGACCGGTCCCAGGAGGAGCGGTGCCAAGGGGAATAGCCCTGAGGCGCCCGGCGTTGGGGCTTGCCTCACGATGCTGCCGTAGCTCTCTCAGTGGCAGTCCCGGGCTGTTGCCGAGGGGTTCCCCTCAGGGATGCAGAACGCCGGGCCGTCATCTCCGTGAGGTCTCTGTCGGATTCGCACACGTCGGGGGCGAACGGCATATCCGTGTCCCCCTGCTTGCTCTCCTGCGTTGAGTCCAGAGGCACCGGACTCAATGGCTCCCCCTGCAGTGCCAGAGTCGATGGTGCCGGTTGCTTCATAGGCACCGCGGAGCGACC